GGGGGGGAGGGGGGGAGAACGCATTCTACCACCATGGAGCCGGGCGGGGGGCCCTCCACGTGGAGCCACTTTGGGGAATGTGGCCCCAGCTGGCAGCAAGCCCCAGGACAGCAGTAGGGCGCAGCTGGCTTGTGTCACCAGCTGTCACCCGAGGAAGGGCTTCTCTCCAGGTCTGGGAATGCTGCAGGACAGGGCGCGCACGGGCGAGCCCCCACGCTGGCCCCAGGCAGCAGCCACCAGAAGGGCGTCCTCCTACTGTGAACTCACCTGGCCATGGTTTCCTGCAGCCCCCCTGCCCTGGCCCGCCCCGCCCCGGGAACTGGGAGGCCACCTCGGATGCTGCCCGCTGTTCGCAGGGCCGACCAGGGGCAGTCCTGTCCGTCTCAGAGAGCCTAGACCTTCCCCGGCCCCCAAAGCACCACGGGGCTCAGAGCTCTGGGCAGCCGCAGTGCCAGACCCCAAGCCCTGCCAGGCCTTGCTAATGCAGAGACCCCCCAGAACGGGGCGGAGCCAGACTGACAGACATAGGTGGAAGGCCACCCCCCCCGCCCCCGCAGAGTGGGAAAAGCAAGCTGAATGTCAGCATGCAAAGAAAATACCCGTCTTGTGAAAACATACACTGGAAGAACGTGTAGCCAGTCTGTCGGAGTGGCAGGAAGAGGCGTCCACCATGCACTTTGGGGTCATGCAGTCTGGCCACAGCGGCAACCCCCGGGCCAGCGTGCCAGATGAGGTGCCTCCCCCGCTCGTATTTGCTTCTACGTGTCTCTGCCCCGCCACAAACACAGGCATGAAGGGTGTGGCCCGGCCTCCTGCCACCTCCAAGTCCCCCGCTTCTCTCCCCGCATCTGCCACCACGGTCAACGTGGTGAAATTCAGATTTCCCTTCTCCTGATTCTGTAGGTGTCATTCATCCATGAGTGACGCAGCTGATCACTCACTCCTCCTGGAGTTGGGAACTGGCCCGTCTTAGATGCTTAGCTTTCCTGCTGATCTCCAAGCTCGTGGGTGGTCTCTGACGCAGGGCATCCCACACTCCTCGAGGACACCCAGGGACCTGCCCCCTTGAGACTGCCTAGGAGGCTCCTGCGTGGGATCCGGGTCCCTCGATGTGACATCTTTCTTGGTTGATACCCTTGTTTGGCTGGAGCACATCCTCCAGTAGCTTCCTCAGAAAGAAGGGAAATCTGAGGCTTTCCGTGTCTAGAATGATCTTTATCCCCTTGCACATTTAGTTTGGAATTTGGCTAGGCACATCCTTTTGGGTTGAAAATTATTCCTCTTCTGATTTTTGAAGGGCTGTTCCTTTGCACATTAGCTTGTAGCATAAGTCCGATGCCTTTAGGATCTCTTGTTCTTTATGTGGACCTAGCTGTTCCTTTCAGAAGCTTTTGGGACCTTCTGTTTAACCCGAGAGTTGTGAAACTGCCTAGTGATGTGTGCATTGTATGGATCATTTTCATCCTCTGTGCCAGACTTTTTAATCTGGAAATGCAGTGTTTGGGTCCCAGGCAATGTTCTTTCCTCTCTTTGCAAAACATGTCACAGAGGCCCCAGCTGCTCAGGGAGCCTCTGTGGCATGATCTCCCTGTCCTCCACTTGACTTCTCAGCCCTGGGAGACACCTCAAGCTGACTCCCAGCCCACCTGTCTATCCACCTGGAGCCAGCTCTCCCCGAGCTGCGCAGGCTTCTCCTCACTGGCAGGTGCACCCCCCAGTGACCCCCGAGTGGCCAGGTGTCTGGTGGCTCACCGCACCATCTCCTACGTGGGCCCTGTTCTTCTCTCTAGTTGGAGACACTCACACCCCATCCTCTGCTGGAGATGGGGTGGTGGGGACCCTGAGCCCTGCAGCACCTCACACTTGGCCTCCAGCCCACTGTGGTCCCCGGCCCAGGAGGCGCCCGTGTCTCTGAATCCCAGGCCTTTCCAGAGCTCCCGGCACGAGCCAGCCTCCTCCCTGTCTGCACGGCCTCGGATCCGAGCTTCCTCTGTGCTGCAAAGGTGGGGCTCTCTTGCCCACCCTTTCCTTCCTGTCCAAGTCTGCGGACACGGCTCAGCAGCCGCCTTCCCTCTGCTGTTCTCGGTCACTCCTGTGTGGTCGTCATGGTGGTGTTTCAGGAGCAGGTGGAGAAAAACCATGCACTTTACCCTCCAGGCTTGACTGCGGGTCACTGCCATAAGTTCACGGGAACCAAAGACTGGGACTGAGCCCAAATACCGACATTAATGTTTTCAGTGTGGAAGCAGGTGTCCTTGGACCTCAGACGGGAGTAGAGGCAGTGTGAGGGGCTCCTCTTGGACCCCTGTCCAGGCGGCAGGCTCCGAGTGGCTCCTGGCCTGGTCGACAGAGGGCCCAAAGCACCCAAGGAGCCAGCTCTGACAGGACCGGCCGCTGCCCAGGGCCTCTGCTTCTGCAGGGAGCATCTGGGACTGCCAAGGCCCCGAGGCCAGCATGGCCGCTGCATCTAGGAGCAGGGGGCCAGGAGCCCTGTGCCCAAGACCCTTCTCCACACCACCCCCCCCGCCCCCGCACCAAGACTCTTCTCCACACCACCCCCCCCGCCCCACCAGCCACAAGACACGCACTCCTCATTCACCCCCCAGCACTGCCTGCCCCCAGAGACAAGCAGGCGAGAGCAAGGAAAGGATTTCACCTTCAGAAACTGTGGTGCGTGCTCTGGGGGAGAACAATCGAGGAAACGTGGGCCATCAGGGCAACAAGCTCTTTGGGGCCATGGGGCTCACAGGCCCCAGGGTCACAGGGCTCGCTCCTGAGAGGCCAGGAGGTGTGTCTGTGCGAAAGGGCTCAGGAGCAGGGCAGGGCTGGGGTTGGGGTTGGCGGGGGCTGGTGGGAGCGGGCTCAGAGATGTGGTAACCTCCAGCCTGGCTCAGGGTGTCAGGCACAGGGAGGAGAGGGGACACAGGCCGCCTGCGGGTCAGCAGGCGTCGGAGGGGTGGGAGGCTGGACCTGGGCTCCCTGTTTCCATTGTGACGCGAGGGTGGTGGGTGGAGAGTGGCCCAGGCGGACAGACAGGGGTCAAGGTCAGCAGGAGCAGGCAGAGGCTGCGGCGGGATGAGACCCGTGGGTCCCCGCGAGGGAGCACGCCCCTCTCCATCTTCCTGTCAGCAGACGGCTGAGCACGGCCTGCACGGATGTCGTGTGAGGCTGGCGTGCGCCTGGCGGATCGCACACCTGCTGGAACGTGCGGTCGACGCGGGGCGTTTCTCAAAGCCCTTGTCAGAAGTGACAAGGAGCCGAGAGGAAGACAGTGTGCACCCGGAAAAGGGCTACTCGTTCAGAACAGGAGGAGGAAGAGCATGGGGATGCTAACCCAAGGAGCCGCGCATCAAGAGGCAGGAAGGTCACAGCTTCGTGGCGTTTGTCACGGGGCGGGGTCAATTGACACGACCAGATTTCGGTGTGGATCCGCAGGAGGGCCACAAGTAGGGTGCAGATCATTTCTCCCGGAGAGGCCAACACCTGGCTTCTGCTCTGAGGCGATGTTTGGGGGGGCAAGCTGTCAGAAGGCTGAAACTTTGGGGGGCGGGGGCCTGGCTGAGCTGGTCTGAGCAAGGACCGAGGAGAAGCTGTAGGTCCCAGAGAAGGAGAAGGGGCCACAGGGGGACTCAAAGAATGGAGGGGAACAGTGGGCAGGTGAGGAGCCCACCCCAATGCCATGCCCTTGCTCAGGGATTTTACACAATGTCTGGGGACATCTGTGGTTGTCACAACTGGGGGTGCTCCTGGCACTGAGTGGGTGGGGGCCGGGGTGACTCCTTAACCTCCCACAGTGCCCAGAACGTGCCCTCCCAGAGAGTGATCCGGCCCCAGAGTCCCCAGTGCTAAGGGGAGAGACCTGGTCTGGGGACAGAGCCAGCATCGCCCTCACTCTCTGGCCCAAGCCAAGGATGCTCAGGGGGAGACATCCCTCCCCCAAAACAAACCCTCTGAGGCTCAGGGGAGCTGGCACAGCTGGTCAGGGCAGAGCACCACATGGCCAGGAGGGAGTCACATGGGACTCCGTGACAGTCACTGAGCTCAGGCCGAGGGGCAGGGGCATCCAGCTTGGCCTTGAGTCCCCAGCCCGCTTTTTCTGAGAAAGGCCCCCCAACCCATGACTTTAAAGAAAAAGAAGGCAATCAGCCGTATTTTACATACTAAAGGCTTTAAAGAAAATGCCATCCTTGGGAACAAGCCTGATTTGTACTCCAGTCCCTCTGGCTGCCTACCACAGCTCCCCTGGTCGGCAGCAAGGGAGGGAGAGTTGGGAAGACAGGAAGGCTCCAGAAAGCAAGAGTGTATGACAAGGGGGCTAGGACAGTGAGGGGCTGGCCCAGGCAGAGGGGGTGGAGGGTGCTTCCTCTGGCACAGAAGGTTCTGGGCCGGCCGGCTGGGGTCCCTTGTCCTCTGGGCAGGCTCTTCAGACAGCCTCTACTGCCACTCCATTTCTGGGATGTGATGCCTGTTTATTGGCAATCCGCTCTGTTGACCAATTAGGCTGAGCCACAATCAATTAGCCATTATGCAAATGCGCGTCTGGCCTGGGAGCTAGCCTTCCACCAGCTCACTCCTCGCTCTGTTGCAGGCTGGCCTCACCCAGAAGTTGCTCCCCGCAAGGAACGCTGGGAGAGCCAGAAATCAAAAGGACAGGCAACAAAAGAAAGCAGAGAAAAAAGAGACTCACCTTCACGAAGGCTGTCAGGGGCAGCTGTGAAAGCATTCCGGAGCTGCCGGAACATTCTCAGAGAGAGGGGTCCCAGGGTGGGGAAACCATGCAGCGAGGCTGAGACTGCCCAAGATTCGCAGATTCACAGACAGACACGGGGTAGCAAGAACAGCCCGGTCGGGGGCAGGCTCTGGGCCGGCACGGCCCCTCGGCCAGGATGGTTTTTCCCAGAAATAGGTCCAAGGGTGTCTGTCCCCGTAGGGCGCGGGAGTGCCACCAATGGGGCTCCCCGAAGGAGGGCTCTGTCCCAGCCTCCCGAGACACCGTCCACGGCCAGTGGGGACAAGATGAAGCCGGAACTGATGGAGTGGCTGCCGGTGGAAAAGCTCTCCCCGAAGCACAGATCCACCTGCTGCCTGATTTGGCGGCGCCCACAAGCTAAGGACGGTGATGACGCTTTCGAATGGTTCACAAAGTGACAAGAGTGGTCCTACTTGGCGGCAGGGGAAAATGATATGAAATTCCAATCTCAGCGTCCGTGAATGAAGTTTTACCGGGACACGCCACGCGCACTGGTTTACGGAATGTCACTGTCTACAGCGGCTTTCATGCCGTCGAGCGGCCATGAGCCCGTCAGGCCCCGCACCGCACGGTTCCAGCTCAAGGCTGGGGGCCCAGCAAGGATGTGCTGAATGTTCTTTGGGCACCAGGAAGGAATCCGGCGGAACACTGTCCAAGAGCACTCAGACCCGGGGAGCCTGGGTGCTCCCACAAAAAGCCAATGGACCGATGTTCTGGGTAGCGGGGCGCCGTCGGGCACTGCTGCCAGCTGTCTCTCCCTCCCGGCCCCAAGCTGACTCCTCCTCAGCCCAGACCCGCCCCCCACGTCCCCACAGTCTCGGTGACAGGCCAAGAGGGTGCTGTCGCTTTGCCTTCTCCCCCACCCAATGCCAGGCATGTGGCCTGGAGGGGTCCACACTGTGGAGAGGGGCCCTCCGAGCCAGGATGGGGGTGTAAAGGACATCCGTGGGGGGACAGGACTCTGCATCACGGCCATAATCGCGAATCCAAACAGCAGGATTTTGGACGTGCCAAATGAGCACCCACAGACGCCAAAGGGCAGGGGTGCGGCAGCCACATAGGCTCCAGCACAAGACCTACCATCGCTCGGAGCCAAGAAGGGACCCGAGCAGCCCTGACACGCAGAAACAGGGCTCCCATGTCCAGGACTGTCACAAGAGTGACGGGGACGGCCTGTGTCCTCCCAGAGAGGAAACCGTGTGGCCCAAGGGCCGAAGGACTGGCCTCCCAGGAGCTGGTGAACGAGGAGTAGGAGGGAACCTGACTGACAACACAGACACCACCTGCCCCCGGGCCCACTGACCATGTTCGGGGAAGTCGAGGCCTGAGAAACACATTTGCAGAAGAGACAGGACGAGGAAGAGAGGAAGAGAGCAAGGAAGGAAAGGGAAAGGAGAAAGGGAGGGGAGGCGAGGGAGGGGGAGGAGGAGAGGAGGAGGAGGGGATGAGGAGGGGATATGGAGGGGGAAAGGCGGTGGGGACAGCTTGCAGCCACCAGCCAGGTGGAGAGTGGGAGTGGCTGGGGCAGCACCACCAGAACCAGGCAGGGCGCAGTGGTTCGGGCTCCTGGGTGACTCACCTGCGTAGGAGCTTGGCCTTGAGTGAGGCCCGGGAGGCGCTCCAGGTGCTCAGCTCTGGGCTGCTCAGGGCCGTGGGCCGGGTGTGGTCGAGCACCGTCAGGTCCTTGCCTTGCTTCCACAGCTCATACCGCTCTGGCTGCAGGATGCGCACGAACACGTCCATGGAGATCTTGACCATGTCCTTCCGGCACGTGCACTGCGGGGGGCAGGGGACATCTGCTGAGCCCGTGGCAGGGTGAGTCCCACCCCGGCCTCTCTCCTTTCTAGAACCTCTACCTCCAGACAGGAAACGGCGCTTTTCCGTCCCAAGTGGAAGCCGTTCCCTCAAGTGGGAGCCTCTGGCCCACTCCTGTGGGGTCACAGCCCCCGCCCAGCACGAGGCCCAAGGGTATGACAGCAGACCCTTTGTGCGGGACTCGGGGGTCAGCAGGCAGACAGATGCAGCTCAGGAGCCCCAGGTCACAAGGGTCCAACCTCCAGCTGCCCACGTGTCGGCTCTAACCGAAACCTGCCAGCTGTCGGACATGCGTCCCCCCCCCAAAATGCATGTGGAGTGCTTCCTAACAGCAGTCATTTCGAAGGTTAGGAAGAGGGGAGAGCGGTCAGTCCCAAAAGGCTGAGAGCAAAAGAGGAAACAAGTGATTTTAAGAAGGTGCAGGGCACCCAAGGGCGCATATGTGCCTGCTCCCGGTCTCTGCCTCGCGGGTTTGGGGAGAGGAAGCCAGGACCCGGAGACTCAGCGGCTGCCCCAGGGCAGCCAGAACTCAGACTGAGAGTGGCCCGCGGAGGCAGGGGGCGGGCACAGTGTACCAGGGGGCCTGGAGCAATACTGCCTTGGAGCAGAGGGTCCTCTGTGTCTGGGAGCTTCAAGCACGGGGCAAACAAGCATGGCGAGGACAAGCTGAAATGGGGTCCCTCTTGTCCCCTCTGCTGCTGTCTAGACCCCTCCCTCTTGTGCCCTGAACAACTCCCACAAGCCACATGTTCCTGGAGCCTCTCCTCCATGTCATCACATCGTGGTGGCCCCCAGTGCCGGGTACCATGCAGGAGGCACACAGGTGTCTCAGGGACACTTAACACCTTGGGAAGTCGTGGGTCAGAAAAGCCAGCTAAAGATTCCAGAAGCTGGGCTCTAGCCAGTGAGCCAAGAACCTTCCTCCATCAGCAGGAAGAACTCAGGCAGCCCTGGTCTCCGACTTACCTGTGGGATGAGACCAAGATAGGACTGGAAAATCATCCTACTGCAAAAAGGGAAAGAAACTAAGGGGCCACTGGTCTAGGGCAGGGCTGGCAAACTGTCCATAAAGGGCCAGGCAGTGGCCCAGTCACAACCTCCCAACTCTGCTGCCGTGGCTCAGAAATATCATAGGTAATACATAAACGAATATGTATACCAATAAAACTTTATTTACAAAAACAACTGAAGGGCCGGATTCGGCCCAGGGCCTGGTTTGCAGACTGGTCTAGACTCTGGAGGATAACGCAGGCCCTGGAAGCAGGTGGCCTAGGGGACCCAAGGAGGTGGTCTTGACCTCCGGGTGCCCCTCCTGCCTAAACTGGACACAGTCCTTACCTCCTTATGGGGACAAATATACCCAGGAAGGCCTGTCCTGTGAGCGCTGACCAGAGGCCTCAGGGCAGCCACCCTTCAGGGACACGCCCAGGGCACCTGCATTGCAGCCCCTGCAGCTCCAACTCTGAACGCCTGCCTGCTCAGAACGCTTTCGGCCCCTCTTTCTGCCTCCCTATCAAATAAACAGGCTTAGGAGAGGCCCATTTCCAAAATCGTAGCTTAAAACACGTTTCCATTTTAAACACGCATCTCACCCTCCTTTACAACCGTGTCACTGTCACTGTCACTTTCTCAATGGAAATGGCAGGAAGGAAAGGATGTAACTGGATCCAGCAACCGTGCCCCTTGCCCTGACAAGCCCTTCCATGCTTGCCCCATCACTGAGGACCCCCATCTACGTGGGTGCGTCGGGGCTGCGGGAGGGGCTTCAGGAAGTGTCCTGAGGAATTTTCTGCAGCCCCAGCTCCCACCCCCACTCCCTCCCACCCCCCAGGGCTGGATCTGGGAGCTTGGACTTGGGGACGGCAATAACCTGACCACGCCAAGCAGGAGGGAATATTTATGGACAAGCAATTCCCAGCAAAAGCAATTCATTTAATGAAAAATTGTGCAGGAGAGAAAGGCTGGCGGTGTAATTTGGCTTCTGAGTGGCGGGAGCACAGATGGTGCCCGTGTTTCAGATTCCTGGCCCGGGCCCCGGCCTCCCCAGAGCCCCCATCGACAGCGGCTTAAGGGATTTGTATGGAGTGGCTCTGCAATTGCTTTTCCTTAAGTAATTAAAAAAAGGCACCTGTGTGCACCCCGGAGGGGGACACGTAGATGTGCTCCGAGGAGCAACGCCGGGTGGCCTGGAGGCTGGCCCGTGCCCCACGGCCCGGCTGGAGCCACACTCCCTCTCCCCTGGTTCTGGCTGCGGTGGGGCTTGTGGCCCGTGGGGGAGGATTCCGGAGCAGCACGGGCACCCAGGGAGCAAGCACTGGGTCCGGGGGAGGGGAGCGACAGCCGCTGGGATTTAGGACACGGCCCCATCGCCTCCTTGGCAGGGCAGCTGAGCTCGGGGGGCAGGCGCCACGGACCCACGGGCTCCCGTCGGCCCGCCAGTTAGGGAGGTGAGGTTGCTAAGGCCGACAAGAAGACCCAGCTTCTCCTCCTGGGGCCGAGCGCGCCAGATCCCCAACAGCCCTCAGCACCGGGTACCTTGTGACTGGGGCCATCACAGGTTGGTGGTTCACTGCAGCTGGCCGGCCGGCCGGGGCAAGCACAGAGGCTCCAAGCTGCAGGAGCTGCTTGGGAAGGAGGCTCAGAGTGGGGGCCGGGGGGGTGGTTCACAGCAGGCTCTTCGGGACGGCCTGGGCAAGGCCTGGGCAAATCGCTCTGTTTTCATTCTCCCTCTCCCACCTGCCGTCCCACTCCCAAACCGGAGACAGGCATTTTCAAGGATCTGCTGGAGTCACTCAAGCTGATAGTTTCCGCTGCTCTCCTACCAGCTCCCCAAGTTAGCAGCCCACACCCCGCCCCCATCAGCACCCGCCATAGAGCGTGTGCCCTCAAAGGGAGCTGGCTGTGTCGTTAGTTTCTGATGAGAATGGGGCACAAATGTGGGGAGGAGGTCTGAGGGGCCCCCTGCACCACGGCCAGGGCACAGAGCCCCCAGCTGCCAGAACCGGCTGCCAGCCCCGGGGGAGCGGGAGGTGCGGCTCTGGCAAACCCTGGATGAGGCGCGGCCACTGGCCATTCCTGTCACTTGAGGCAAGCGGGTCCCTGTGCCGCGCCTCCCAGGGACCTCTCCGAGGAATTGAGGAGCCCAGGCAGAGCCGGCCTCCCCTTCGGTACCAACAAGACCGCACGTGCACACAGGAGGAACCGTAAGGAGGCTGTTCGATGGCCGTGGGCAGATCCGCACGACGGTGCCCAGTGCCGCTGCTAAGCCTTGGTCCGGGGCACCGTGTAAATGACAGAAACGTTCTTGGGACGGATCTGTGATCTCAAGAAATACAACATGCACGCTCACAAGTACAAGGCCCCCGTCATGAACAAAAATCTTTAGGAAAAGCCAAGCTCCTTCATCAGACATCCACCATGGCTCTTTCAACTGTGGGGCCAAGCCATTCGTGTGCGTTGACTTTTCTAAGTCTCTTCATTGGGCAGGTATGTCATTTAGGTGGACGGTAGGCCAATGACAGAAAGTGGGCCAAATGTGGCCCATGACCCGTCTGTAAATAAAGTTTTATTGGCACGGCCACACCCACCACTGTGTTGGTGCTGCTACAGCTGAGCAGAGCGGTCCCACGGAGACCATGTGGCCCACACACCTGCAAACACTCACAGAAAGTTTGCTGAACCTTGATTAAAGGGGCAGAATGATTTTCACAGGGTAGCCCGAGGCCTAAGGACCTCAGTGGGGCGTGTGCCAGAGGCCGACCTCGGTGAACTGTGTGAGCCCCTACAGACACGTGCTGTGGACTGAGCTGTGCCCCCCCCCTTCCCTAGGTTGAAGCCCTAACCCCTAATGTGACCGCCTTTGGAGATGGGAACGTCAGGAGGTAAGTACAGCTAAACCAAGTCCTCTCCCCACGCCATGCAAGGACAGAGCGGGGAGGCAGCCAGCTGCAACCCGCCTGGGGGCTCTCACCAGAACCCAGCCCCCAGGCACCCTCTTCTCAGACGTCCAGCCTCCGGAACCACGGGGGATACATTCCTACTGTTTACAAGCCACCCAGTCCGTGGTCCTTTGTTACAGCAGCCCGAACTGCCCGGGACAGGTGTCCTTGTGCACACTTCCCACAGTCCTGTTCTTGACTGACCACAGCAGGCTGCACGCTCCCCACTAGCCGCTTCCGGAATCCAGCTCTCACCAGGTGCCAAGGAAGCACCTAGACCCTGGGGCACAGAGGCCTGGTCTCAGGTTCGGCCTCCTCTAGGCCACCTGTCCCCCATACCTACAGCCCAATCTGGCCATTCACTGTGAAAACAGACCCCCCTGGAGGCCAAAAGCACCTCAGGGGGCCTGGGCCAGCTGCCCTTCACCCACGCCGGGGCCCAGACCCAGCCTCAAAGGGTGCCCGGGGGCTTGAGAGGACCAGCCCCGTGCTGTCTGGGGGCTTTGGGTCCCCTCGTAGCAGAGACACTGGCTCCTAACCCCCCAGCCACAGATCTCACACACTCTGCCTGGAAGCGCCCGGCGTTTTTGATTTTACGAACCCAGGCACTCACACACGGAGGAACACAAGCATGGAGGTCTCTGAAATGACACCTGAGGAACGAAGGGGTCGGGCCCTGGGGCGCCTGGGTTTGCTCAGAACCACTGCACCTGCGCCTAGAGCGGCAGAGGGAGGGCGAACAGCAGAGCCGGCGCAAAGCCTCCTGCAGCCCAGCGCAGTCAGGCCCGGAGCGCACGTAGGTGTGAGGGGCCCCTGACTTCCTAAGGTTGTAGGTGAGTAAGAATTAAGTACTGAGATCAGATTCACCCACTGTGAAGCCACACAAACCCGGAGCAAGATGGTCTCAGACTCTGAGCTCCAGGAGGGTCCCATCTGCCATGTATGGACTATTCTGTGCTCTCAGCTGGCGAGGCTGAATCGAGGGGGTGTCCGCACGCCGGGCCCTCCCTGCAGCAGCTCTCGGTGGCATCAGGGAACAAAAGACACACAGAGCCCTCCCCTGCTCGCTGGGAGCAAGGACCTCCTGTGCACGCTCCTCGTCCTGCCCCTCCAGTTACTGCTGCTTTTGACCAGAGAGGCACCTGGGGGAGGGCGAGCG